CATGTACCAATGATTAGAATGAATACTCGATAATGCAAAATAGGAAGAAAAGGTCCAAAGGGGTAGGAGTAGTGGGAGGGGCAGGGGAATGGAAAGAAAGGAAAGGAAAAATGCTGAGAAATGGAAAAAGTGGAAATAAAGTCTTTGTAAATAGGGAAGAGTGGAGGGCACGAAGGGAGGGCTAGGAATGGGGAAAAAAGAAGAACCAAGATGCATTATGTAAAGGTACAATTCCCAATGAGAAATGTAATTGTGTTACATAACTACCATAAAAGAATTTAATAAAGAAAAAAAAATTAAATAGATCCCCATGACAACTGAACCCCATGGGCTCAAAAAAAAGATAAAAAAGAAAGAGAAATAGGACTGATAAGGATCTTTTATTTTTTTATCTTTAATGTTTTATCTCTTAAGCTGGGTCTTAGGTGCACATGTCTGTGATAGCCATCTATCTGTCAATATCTACCATGTATTGTATGTATTTGAAAACATATAAATTGTGTTTGTCCCACTAGAAATAGAAAACACTTTTATTATATCTGGACATAAAACCTGGGATGTGTCTCTGGGGTACGGGTGAGAATGTTCTCCTGTACTATGAGGAAGGTCCTCATAAAAAAGCCTTATATCTCTGGGCAAAGTAATGATCACAGTACCCAAAAGAGAGTCCTCAAGAGAAAGTAAAACATTGGGTGCAGAGATCAGCATGCCTTTCCCTAGCCTTCTAATTCCTGGGAAGCCGAAGGCTCCCTTTCTTTAGCTTCCCTCCACTAGAACCCTAAGTAGGGCAGGAAGAAGAGCAGTGGTAGGCTTTATTCTTAGATGAGGCATGCTCCCTCTGTCCTCCATGTGTCTGGCCAACCCTGGTGGCAAGCCAGAATTCCTGTCCCAGGTGGTGAACAATGCAGTTTCCCTTTCTCTGTAAGTTCTCTTCTTATCCTTGCGCCAAATTCCAGAGGTACAAAGCAATTCTCCCCCTCCCCAAGAACTAGCTCCCCTTCTTTTGCTTCAGTGTTACCATCAGTCTCTCACCCTACCATGCTTAAAAACTCAAGACCACCTTGCTTGTTGTTATCTTTATTATTTCTCCATGTTCTTTTTTACTTAATGACTCCATTCCTCTTTATTTTTCCTTATAGTTCCTAGCATGCCTCATTTCTTCACGGTCACATTATTAAAACATGTTTCCAAAGTGCTCTCCTCACATTCATGTTCCCTGTGCTCCGAGGTCCCTGTATGCTGTTCACAGGATGCATCTACTAGCACAGGCAAGGCTTTTACCATATCAGTCCCTGGGGTAGGACACTTTCAAACCCTCTGCTGTTTAGAAGCTAAAGTCCAAATTCTTCTGAAGATTCTACAATCAACCTCTTTCTAGTACTATCACCCCAAATCCCTGAGAATGTCCTTTACAGAATACACAATGTCCTTCCTTTCTAGCAATCTACTATATAATGACAGTTTGTTGAATTTCACTTTCTGATTTTCTTCCTTGACATTCCTCCTATTTCATTATTTCCTAAACTCAGGCATTTGGAGAGGTTGTCATGATTTTTTCATTATCAATTACTGTCCAAACTCCTTTTTACTTAATTTTCTCTGTAAGTCAACACTCATTTTAGCCTAGATAAGTATTTCAAACATTAATTTCTGCCATCATAAATGAAAAACACTTATCTCTTGCAATAAATAGGCAATGCTTCTAAAAATAAATGTCATTTTAAGAGTTATTAAGTTAAATACTTTGGCCTGCTAGCATCTGTTACTTACTCTATTGTTATACAGAGGTTTAAACAAGTATTAGAAGAATTTTCAAATCATATCAACAAAATTTAGCCTTAAAGAGTTGAATGTACATTGAAAAGTATAATTATACGGTTGTCATTTCAATGTTATTGATTCTCTAGTATATATGTTACCTAAAATCACTTCATGTATGCAAAATTTGGAAAATGTATGTGAGACATTCTCTTTACCCTTTTCTGATGATCTCAAGTCTGCATGTCTTTCCAGTTCTGGCCAGTCTACCCACATCCCACAGTGTCCTGGAGACATTCAGTCCACCCAGCATGTCCTTCCTCTGGGAAGGCATCCTGGGCCAGCACCTCTTCCTTGTTTGGGGAAGTCATTCCACTGTGCTTTTTAAGTTTATTTTTTCTGGTCTCCAGTGACCTTGTTTCAAGAACAGATTTATAGAGGCTTCTCTTAAAGACCCTGATACTGAGCATCACACGTTCTACAGAGTGAGATTTAAGAGGACTCCATGAACAGCCTGAGTGACCCATGGATTAGCACTTCTTCCCTCTATTTCTGAATACACATTTCCAGGAGCAGATAAGGATCCCCTCAAGGGCTGTGTCTGAGTCATTCTTTTATCCTCCAGGCCCAGCCCAGAGAGAGAATGCTATACAACTGCTAGCTATCCTGGTCAAACAAACAAATGACATTTCCTAGAGAAACCACACCATATGTGGCATTCAAAGCAAAAACAAAGCTGGCTTGTTAGGAAGTGTGCACTAATGTTCAGTGTTGCTTCTGCTGCTTCCCCCACCTTTGTGTTCCATCTGATGCTGTCCTGCACCTGCCAGCATAGCTCCTGAGAAGGCTCACACTTGCATAGCATATCACACAAAGCTCTGCATGCTTATCACCAACACTGGTTGTTATCACTCTCAGTCACACAAAATACCATGCAGAGTGCTTAGTCTTTATAGACAGCTGGGCCTATGTGTGGCCTCTTGAGAAAAGATTTACTAAACATTCAATAAGCTCATGTCTTCAGCTTTAAAATCAATATAATTTTAAATTGTTTTCGGTCCTCCAATTTCACTAACACTTTTTAAACATTAGATAGCTTTTAACAGACTGTTTTAACAGTCTTCATTGCTCTAAAACACAGATAAAAGTAATCGTTTTATAATTTAGTCAGGGATAAGCTGAGAAAACTGGCATAGAGAATATATTTGCCTTTAGTTTTAGAAATGAGTCTTAATTAAACCTTTCAAGAAAATTGTAATTAATAATGAGACTGCATAATTCCTAGATTCTATACATTACCAAAAAATCATTTAAAAAATCTCTCTTGCGAGCTAGATATAATCATGTAATTACATAAAGGAGGACATGAAAGGATCACCACTAAGTTCAAGACAACTTTAAAAATATACATGAAACGTATCATCATCACTAAAAACTGTTGTCACATAAAAACAAGCTACTAACATAAGTGATTCACTATCACTCTGAAATTAGGCCCACTGAATAGAGATTTAGATGTTTTTTAAGGAAACAGGGACTTTAATAAATGGGAAGCATCAGAATTTTTGCTACACATTCTTTTGGTACATAACATGGTATCACCATCTTCACCACTTCTAAGTGTGAAGTCCAATACTGTTGGGTAGATTTAATTGTTGGCAACAATCTCTAAAATGTTTTCATTTTGCAAAACTAAAATTCTCTACCCATAAAACAATCTCAATGCCCTCTCCTCTCTGCCTGGCAATCTACTTTCTGTTTCTGTAAAATTTTGAGTAATATAGATGCTTCATGCATGTGGAATCATACAGTATTTGATTCAACTGTTTTTAAAGCATAATTGAAGCATAATTAAAATGAAGCCAATCTTCCATCAGTCACTAACCATCTGTTTAATACAGTGCAGTCTTCTCAGGTAACTCTATTAAATCAGTGAGGCAGATTTTACCCATTTTATAGATGACGAAACTAAGGCTGTACAAGGTGAAAGATTTTGCTACAGGTTACATATATAATAAGCAGTGGGGCCAACCCCTCTTTATCAACTTCAAAGCTCAGTCTTTTCAACTCATCTGGATGTGTTTTGTAATATTTTAAATTTTCAGAGAATTTCAACCATGTACCTATTTAAAGCAAGTGAAAGTGGTCCTTTTCTTTCATTTGACTCTTTATGCTGCAAGTATTCCTGATTCTTAAATAAACTACTCTATTCTAAACTATATCACCAGGTACTGTTCTACCTCAAGTCTCACAACCCCACAGAATACCAGTTTCCTTCCTCTTTTTTTTTTCTAAGCAGGGCTTGGGAAGAAAGAAGTTCCTTGTTCAATTTTCCTGGAAACTACAACTTCCCAGTGTACAGTACATTTCGCCAGGGAAAGAAATATTAGTCTTTAAGAAGCAGCACTTACATGTGTGGAAGTGAGCCCCAGATTCTTCAGTTCAGGCACAATGTTTTAGTGAAGGGAAGCCATTTTACCCAAGCCAGGCACCCTCTTCAAATGTGCCTTGCTCTGGCCGGCTTCCGGAGCCACCTGAGATTACCAATGTGACACCAATGCTGCCCAACCAGAAACCCTGGAAGGCAGAAGAACTACAATACCCACAATCCAGGCTCCTCACCCGAAACCAATAGATCGGGGCAATGGCTAGAGTTTCACTCTAGGGAGAAAGCGGAAATAGTTGGAAAAGTAATAAGAAAAAAATCTCCAACAGTACATATGGTCCTATTTCCACAAAAGGAAATTAAAGTGGTTTAATGTTTTCCAACAAATAAGAAGACTCCTTTCCTGTTGGCAAGAGCAGAAAAATCTTCATACAAACAAATCCGCTGCAGCCTTGAAACCTGCCAGGCCAGATTCCCTTTCGATGACTCATTCAGAGGTGAGGGTGTCTCAAGCCTTGGAAAGCAGGTGACTGAAGACTGCTGAGGCCCTGCAATCTCAGTTCCTCCTGGGTCAGCACTGTGATCATCACTCAGAGATGCTACCGATATACCGGGGACCTTTTGACCCTTCTTCTTCCAAAATGCTCTCAAATTAAAACTACACTTTCAAAATTGCTTTTTAAAATATGAATAAGAATGAACCTTTCTTGAGAAGTTCTTCCACTTGCCTTTCTATTTCTGGGGTTCATGCTTTTCTTCTGCAAGTTCCACCATTTTTTCCAGTTCTTAGAATTCAAGAAAGAGGAAATGGAGGAGAAAAAAATGTAAATCTCAGAAAAATGAAAGACACAATAGTTTCTTTGCAGTATCAGCCACAGATAATAAAACAAAGAAAACAAAATTGAAACAAAGACATGTATCTTCCTTATTTGTTCATACAGATCTCTCTAAGCTTTTCATTTCCTGTTAGACCCAGCCCAGAAAATGGAAAGAAATAGCTTTGGCTTAGTCTGGGCTCAAAAACATGATAGGAGGGAGGACTCATCTAAGGTAAGTGGATGGCAGAAGGAGCATTTTCTTTTCCATTTTCTGTACTCTCTTTTGCTGTGTTCTGCACCTCTCTCTCTCTGCCTCCCGAACATGTCCTTCTTAAGGCTTGCTGTCCAAGCTACTACTTCAGCCAGAGCTCCATTGAAGTTTCCCCTCTAGTCATCCCACAACCCCACCTGACCCTTTCTAGTTCCCTTCATCACAGGTCCCTCAACTCCTGACTGGAACCTAATTTTCCTTAATGCTTCCTTCTCAAAAATGCCTCTTCATTTCTTCAGACCCTGCAGATTTTGTACTCCATGGTGTTCCCCAACCCCCAGTATCATTATTTTTGGTCTTTATATGTATAGTTCTTGTCTTCCTCTCAGAGAATGAAAAGTCAGTCTTCTCCAAGAAACCCTCCCCAATCCAACTTCGTTTGAATTATTCTCTCCTTCGTAATAAATCACATAACATTGTACCTAGTCCTTCATAAGATGTTTCATTGTTTTATGCAGGTGTGTGTATACACATGTAGTCTTAGATTTCTATTTGAAGGAAGGGGTTTATTTTATTCCTCTTCCATTAATTCAGTAATGTAGATATATATATTTTTATAATCATTGTGTGAAATAGCTACAATATTAGCTCTAAATAAATTTTAATGCTTAATATCATCTCTGTCTCAGACAGGAGATTTTTGTATTGAAGAACTATCCAATTACCAGGAAGATATTGTTATCACAATCCCCTATAGTCCAGTTTTGTATGGCTTCCACAAACTTTATTTGTAGAAAGACAAGGTACTATAGCTAGCACTTCAGCTTCTGACAGTTCCTGAAATGAAGACTCTAATAGATCACAACTCCACTCCATGCTGTGCACTTGACCTTCTAACAGCTTCCTAAGGACCAGCCTCTAAAGTCCTCAGTCTCATGACTACCACTTTAACGCTGGAGCTCACCTTCTGCGATTTTTGATCACCAGCTGCAGTGTTTTGGGCTCTTTTCCCCTACAATCTAGTGTCCTGGCTCTGAAGACTGAACTCTGTTCTTTAAGTTCGTAAATAGTTCATTCTCACCTGAGTAAAGCAATTCTCACCACTTAATAGTTCCTCACAGCCTGGCTTCTTCAGGATTCTCCTGGTCCTCACATGTCCTGTTGTGTCCTAGCTGTCATCCACTATGGAGGAAGTTAGTGAGATCTTGCTGACTCACAGTAATTCTCCAGACATCAGACATAAAAGCTGGCTAGTGAAGGTGATGGCTGTCTGGGTGGTCACCAACTTTCCTCTAATAGTGTCATATGACAGTTGGCCCCTTCACCTGCCTAAGGGAACATATTCTAAGCTATCCGGAGTCGGGTCCATAGCTCATCATCATTTGGCTCAGGGGGACTTCCTTAAGGGAGTCTCTTTTTACCCCTTCACCCATTCTATGTTTCCTTTCTCACTTCTACTGACTTACACAGATGTCTGATTGGGTTGATATTTTGTACATGCTACTCAGAAATGTTTTCATTTTTCCACTGAAATAATGATCACTTGCAGCCACATGGTTTATTGTACCTAAGGAAAGGAGTAGCATATGGTTATGGTATTTCCTAACTGACAGATAAATGGTATGGAAAGCCAGACCATTCTATCCCAGGGTGTGGGAAGAAGAAATCCAGAGGTTCAAAGCAACGTCAAGGGGGTTTCCATAGAAACACGCCAAGAGGCACTAGAGAGTGGGTTGTGTCTGTGAACAGTCACATGGCCTATAGCATGATCTGTTTCATCCAGTTGGGAGGACTAGTTGGAGACTAGTTAATCTCATATTCTTTAGTGTGGGCCTGACTCTGAAGAAGCCAAAAGGGCCAGGCAAACTGCATAGGTCAGGGTTTAGAACAAAGACGGTATACTGCATTTTTGTGACTCCAGAAAAATGGTTAGAATCACCCATCAATGGATATTATACTATACAATGCTTCATAAGGACTTCTAGTTCAGGAAGTAAACTTGGCTCCTCATAGTGGGTGATCAGTACAGAAAGCACCACATGGGCTTCAGAGCTTTCTTTCCCCATACCATCCTCTCTCACTCTGATACCACCCAAAGGAGAAACTGAGAAGGAGGAGGAGGAGGAGGAGGAAAATATCAAAGGCAGAGAATGAAAAAGGAGTCACTCAAAAGAATATCGAAGCCCAAAGAGACTGATGTACACAACTGTAATTTTAAAATCTACTTCTTCACTCCATCTTCACATGCCAATGGTGACACCAACATTGAAGCTGAAATACCAGGGACTCATTGTCCTGTCTGCCCTAGTGGGTAAGAAAGAGGCAGAGCACTTAGAATAACTAATCAGATATAGCTATCTGGGACCAGAAATTAGGGACTCTCGACAAAAAAGAAGCTAGGGCAGAAGAGAATCCCCTCTCAAAGTGAGCAAAGCAGCTATGCAAAAGTCAGGCAGCTGTGGATGACATGACCACAACTCCAGGATTCAGCATTGGTTGTTCATGCAAAGGGAATTCTAGGGTGAACAGGAACAATGGAGCTATCTATTCACATTGTTTTGGCTGTTGCTGTGGCTTCTTAACCTGTGTGCCTAATTCTCCTTTTCCCAGCAATTCTAGGACAGGAGTTTCGTGTGTTGCTTTTTAATTTAGGTCAGCCACAGTCATTTACTGCTGCTTGAGGATAAAAATTTGGATGCAAATATCTAACACAGCTCTTATCACACTGCCACATGTATCACTGCTGTCACCATATTTAGAGTCCACTGGCTCAAAAACTAGATCTTGTTTACTAAATAACTGAAAACTCCACAGCATTGGACTTAGTACTTACTTGTTGGTCTAAAATGAACTCATTAGTAAAATGAGGAAGCCTTACGGAAGTTCTTTCTAATTTAAAATTTCTCTGACCACATGAAAGCTGTCAAGATGCTTACTGATGCGTGTGTAATTTCTTTTTTTCCTAATGTTACGGAGTGGCTTAGAATTTATACTTCCCCCCTTTTTGTATTTAGAATAGTGAAGAGCTAGTGATTTCCTACACCCAAGGGGAAAATCAAACACACACAAATGGTTTGAATATGCTCAGGATGTTTCTTATTGTTACTTAACAGTCAAAAGTTATTTATTTATTTATTTGTGTGTGTATGTGTCCTTCAATGACCTATGTTAAATGTCACTCATGTTTGGTCTGTGCAGTGCAAATACAGCAGAGTGCAAAGAAACAGTGCATTCCCCATATGCTCAGATTTTCCTCAGTAGGTCATCTTGGAAAGAGAAAGACCACATTTACAAGCTTAGAAGAAATTTTCCCTTGGAGTTTTTCTTCATCCTGTTTCACTATTATGGACTCTCAGACCCTGGTTGTCTGTGACTTCTATTTCTGGGTCACCTTGCTCCTGAGTCATGATCACACTGTAACTTTCCAAAACACAGTTAATAGCAGTGAATCTACCAGTTAATTTCAGTGAATAGCTCAAATCATCATAAAATTTTAGGGCCAGAGTTAATTTAGGTCAGATTGATCTTATTTCCCTATATTAAGAAAGTGAGTCAAGCTGTTGTACAGTTTCATATTTTCCTTCATTACATCTTTCAGATCCTTGCTCAACTGTAAGATGAATCATCCATAAATTGACCCCTACAAAGCAGCAGGTTAGAAGTTCATCCCTGTTTTCTTTCATCTGTTGTTTTCAGGATCACACTTAAGGAAATATGGGCCAACTCCTCACATGATCCTACTTCAGTGCTGCCCTTCTGTGTCTAATCAACAACAGGAACTGCTCCATGCTCCCTGTCATGTTCCCTGGAATGGCTATGTATGGCTTGTTTCATATTTTTAAACTAAAGGGTTCTCTATTTGTTGAATCTTCTGTATTTATTTAGGTGTAATTGCTACTTTCAGGCAAGATCACTCTTTGGAGAGTCTTCAGGTGTCTTTACCTCAACTTCCTTGGAGTTTGGATGAGTTTCCTGAGAATTTCCAGAGTGTATTTCTCTTAGTTAACACCTAGGGAGATATAAAATTTTAATATTTTGCATATTCTATTAACAAATGGGTGTATGTGGAGTGTGTGTACAACATATCAACTACCTCACCCACTTTGGGGAGGAAAAGAGTTTACTCTAAGTCTCTGACATACCATATTTTGAGAAAGGAA